TGGATTCCTTTTCTCTTAGATGACCTGAAGGCAACTTCATGTACACTTCTTCTTTAAGCTCCCCATGAAGAAATGCATTCTTCACATCCATTTGGAATAAGGGTTATGCATTATTGACTACCACAGATAACAATATCCTAACAATGTTCATTTTGGCAACTGGAGCAAAGGTCTCCTTATAGTTAATGCCATAGGTTTGTGTAAAACTTTGAGCTATTAACCGTGCCTTGTGTCTCTCAACGCTTCCATTGGAGTTGAACTTGGTCTTATATATCCACATACTTCCCACTGCCTTCTTGTCCTTTGGAAGATCCACCACACTACAAGTCTAGTTTTCAGTCAGAGCTTAGAGGTCTTGAGTCAAGCATCTTGCCACTTAGGCATGCATGAGGCTTCATGAAAATTCCTTGGTTCAAAAGTGTTGGATAATTTGTTAAGAAAATAAGCATAAGATGATGAGTTTTTGTGATAAGAAATGGTTACAGAGATATAATGCCTTTCGGTGTAAGTAATGTACTCTTGTAACCTTACTGGTGGATGTTTGTCTTGTGCAGGATTTCTTTTGGTGCACTTATAGCTTGCTAAGTTGGTTCAGGTTCTAATGGTCCTGAAGAGCTAGGCATGCCCTCATTTACACTCTTAGTGGGGTAAGACTTCTCAGTGTTGGTATGAGCAAGAATGACTTCATGAACTTCTGCTAGAGTAGGCAATGGAAATAGGTCTATAAGATCTTCCCTATTGGAATTAGTCTTCAACCTTTGTGGAAATAAGGTGAATATTCATCAAATCAAACATCTCTAGAAATTGCCAACTTCCCAGTATTAGGATTGTACATTTTGTAACCCTTTTGAGAACTGGAGTATCCCATAAACATACATTTGATAGCCAAGGGTTGAGTTTGTCATGATGGGAAGCTTGAATGTGCACATAACAAGTGCAACCAAAGGTCCTGAGGCGAAACAAGTCTATAGACCTGCCCTTCATGACTTTGAAGGGAGATTTAGTATTCAAAACACGAGTTGGCAATCCGTTAATGATGTAAGTGGCAGTGAGTAGGGCTTGAGACCAAAATTTCTTGGGAACATTCATTTGGATCATAAGTGATTGAGTATTTTCCAATAAGTTTCGATTCTTTCTCTCTACCACACCATTTTGTTATGGAGTACCAACACAACTAGTTTGATGCAAAATTCCATGAGTGCTCAAGTAACTACTCATGTTATTGAAAGTGTACTCAGTGCCATTATCTGATCTTAACATATATAACTTAGATGAGAAATGATTTGTGATTCGGTTGTGAAAGTCTTTAAAAGTATCAAACAATTCACTTTTAAACTTTAAAAGATACAACCTAGGTCACTCTAGAATAGTCATCAACAAATGTAAGATAATATCTATACCCATCACAAGATTCTACACGAGAAAAACCCCAGATAGCTGAATAAACAACCTCAAAAAGTCTACTGGTTCTAGAATTAGAGGAAACAAAAGGAAGCCTAGTGGCTTTTGACATTTGACAAGTTTCACACTCAAGTGTGTTTTCAAAAAAAGGGAAACAACTTGGTCATCATAGGTTCTGAGGGATAGGCAAGATGTTGGTGCCAGAGTTGGTGTTCCTGAGCTTGACTTAGGTTAACACTGAGTTTTTTGACAAATTTGGACTCCTTTGAGAGGTAGTAGAGTCCATTAAAGAAGAACCCTTCACCAATCTTCTTATGTGTAACTCGATCCTTAAACACAACATTGTGAGGGGAAAATATGACAAGACAGTCTAAAGTTTTTGTGATTCTTCCTATGGCAAAAAGCTGAAAAGGAAAGGAAGGCACATATAGGGTAGTGGAATCAGTATGCTCACTCAGCAATCTAACTTTCCTTTTCCTTAGAATAGGTTCCCCTTTCCCTTTTGCAACAGACACATGAATTGGATCACTAGTTTTTTGAAATTCATGTAGACTAGAGGATTTATTAGTTATATGATTAGTGGCACCTGAGTCAATAATCCAAAAATCATGTGTAACATTAGCATTAAGAGCAGTGGAAATGGCACTAATTATACCTGGAATATTGCCTTTCGATGTGTTCTCCGAATCAACCAAGAAACCAGCAAATTTCTCTAGCATTGCAGTACTATTTTTAGTCATCACTTCCTCATGCTCAATGCTTCCTTGCTTCTTTTTAAGAAAAAAAATGCAAACTCATTGATCAAGGAAATGGGGTTTGTTGAGAAATTTTCCATCCCATCAACTGAGGAACAAGCTAAGTGAAAGGCTTTTGGAGTGACTATCTTCACATCTTTGATCATTCGGCCTTCCCTATCAAACTTAGGTTTTTACTCCTGATGTAGGATCCAACATTTTTCTCTCAAATGTCCCTTCATGTTACAATAAGAACATTTCCAGTCTGCTTTCTTCCTAAGCACTCTATCACCAGTTGTCTTGTGATTAGTTGTGAAAACCCTAGCCTTAGAGTGGGATTTGGGCTCAACATTCTTCACTCTTCATCGAGTACCCTCTCTCTGGACTGTATGACACACACTAGTAAATAAGGCAGCTCTGGAGTCATTAACAAATGACTAAGCAAGTCTTTATACTCATCTCCCAAGCTTGCAAAGAGTTGAAACACCTTGTCTTCATCAGCCCTATTCAGAAGCACAACGGAATCAGTCGTGTGTGGATAGTACATATCAAGTTCATTCCACATGGATTTCAAGCTTCTAAGATGTTGAACAAAAAAGTGATCACCTTGCTTTAGACTAGCAACATTCTTCTTTAGTTGAAAGATACGAACTGAGTTGTTTAGGCTACCATACATGTCTTTGACAGACTCTTTTAGAAGAAGGGAAGATTCTGAGTAGCTGAAGAGCTTAGACAACTTTGGCTCTATGGAGTTAAGTATCCAGGACATGACCAGCTGGTCAGTAGTGTGCCATGCATCATAGGTTGATGAAGTGAATTCTGGAGCCTCCGAGCTTCCATTGATAAACCCTAGTTTCGATCTTCCTCCTAAAGCAAGCGATACAGCTCTTGACTAAGGTAGGTAGTTGAACTCGTTCAGTAGCACCGAGCACAGTCGTTGATTTGGGTTGTTCTCACCCCCTTGAGTTAAGTTGGAAGGTGAAGATGAGGAGCAATCAGCACTAGAGACATTTTCTTCTGCCATCTCTTTCAATGATGAGAAAACGAAGAAGAAAAAAAAATGGACAGAGTCAAGACCCTATGGTTCCTACTCTAATACCATGTTGAGTTTTGGTTTTAAATCTTGTATTGTATTTCTCATCATCTTTACAAAAGTGAAAGGCAACTCTTATAGAGAGTCGAAAAGAAGACTACAAGAGGAAGGTTAATAGTCATACCTCACTACCAAATCAGTCCTAACAAGTGGACAAGACAAATATTAATAACAAGTAAAGTGGTTCCTAGAAACAAGGAAGAAAGATTGACAAAAGACCTAAGTGAGTGACAAGGTATGGAAGACTAGAGTATGGTTGAGAAAATCACTTTAACCCATGACTTAGCTAGAGTAATGTTTACAACCGTACTTGTGACATTTACTTTACAACCATACTTGTGACATATACAAGCAACTAGCAACTATTATTCGGTTTGTTTCAATAAGTGGTGAAGCCACAATGATAGCACTTTCTCTTGATCCTTTTCCTCTTCCAACATCTCTATCGTCGCTTCCAACACTCTCTCCAGCTCAGCCTTCCATCGATGCTCAAAACCAGGACATCGGTTCCGTTGCTGGCTCGGCATAACAATGGCAGCCACAACATTAACGTCTGCACCTCTGTTAGCTTGTGTTGCTCTTGCTTACTTTCGTCGTCAGTTTCATCCATTCCCAAGTGTTTAGCCTGCTTGAACAACAGTGATGCACGAAAGGGTTTATCAGCTAGGGTTATATTTGGCTAAATGTAAATAAGTCAAGCCTATATTTAGCTCAATAAAAACAAGGGGTGTGCTATCCACACACCCCTTTTTACTTCTCGCACACCATTTGTTAAATTCTGTCCGTTGATCTTCTTTATTTCATCCGATCTGACGTCCGAAAATTAAAGGATGTGTGAGTGCAAAAAACACTAAACAAGCCAAACTCGAGTAAGGTAATACTCGGTTGAGTAAGGTAGTACTCGGTTGAGCGCAATAACGATCCCAATTATAAATGTGTATATCGAAAATATGTCATGTCGTTGTTGAAGGAGGAACGCCTCCCTCCTTACACATAAAGAGCCAAGCACTTTCCAGTATAGAATTCCTGAATGAGGTGATGTCTTGTACGAAATTAATATTCTCTACAGGAAATGTGGACTTCTTTAAATGGACAGCTTATAGGACGCAAGGTACTTTAAAAACAGAAGTGTGTTCTTCTAAACATAAAATTTGATTAATGGTGGATCAACCAGTAAGCAGTTTTTCTTTCTTCTTGTTTAGCACCCCCTTCCCCCACCCCCCAAACAATTAAGCAAACTAAAAATAAAAATACAATTCAATTTCATATGATATAATGTGGAAGGAGAAGACCAGAAGTTTTTATATGATTCACTACCTGGTACCTGCCCTACCCCCTATGTACTATTACTGACATCGTTAACTATACATCATTCATGGTGGTGCAGCAAAAGATTCCGAGAAGCGTTACATACAGCGAGCATAGGAGGCATGGAGGTTGGGCCAATCAGAGGACAAGCAATGTGTGTATCGAAGTTATGTCATGTCGTTGTTGAAGGAGGAACGCCTCCCTCCTTACACATAAAGAGCCAAGTAGTTTCTAGTATAGAATTCCTAAATGAAGTGATGTCTTGTACGAAATTGATATTCTCTACAGGAAATGTGGACTTGTTTAAATGGACAGCTTATAGGGGTTATAGGACTCGAGGTACTTTAAAAACAGAAGTGTGTTCTTCTAAACATAAAATTTGATTAAATGGTGGATCAAACAGTAAGCAGTTATTCTTTTTTTCTTGTTTAGGAACCACACCCCACACCCACCCCCCCTCCCAATAAAAATACAATTCAATTTCGTATGATATAATGTGGAAGGAGAAGACCAGAAGCTTTTATATGATTCACTACCTAGTACCTGACCTACCCCATACATAATATTCTGACGTCGTTAATTATACATCGTTCATGGTGGTGCAGCAAAAGCTTCCGAGAAGCGTTACACCAGCGAGCATAGGAGGCATGGAGGTTGGGCCAATCAGAGGACGAGCAATGTGTGAAGTGGTGAAGCCACAACGACAGCACTTTCTCTTGATCCTCTTCCTCTTCCAGCATCTCTATCGTCTCTTCCAATACTCTCTCCAGCTCAGCCCTTTCTTTGATGCTCAATACTGGGACATCGGTTCCGTTGCTGGCTCTGCATAGCAATGGCAGCCACGACATTAACATCTGCATCTTTGTTTGCTTGTGTTGCTCTTTCTTACTTTCATCGTCAGTTTCATCCATTCCCAAGTGTTTGGCATGCTTGAACAACAATGCTGCACGAAAGGGTTTATTAGGGTTATATTTGGCTCCATAAGAAACAAGTCAAGCCTATATTTGGCTCAATAAAAAACAAGCCAAGGTTGAAAATTGGTATTTAAGAGGGAGATTGATACTTTATCACTTCATCTTTCTTTTGTTACTAAATAAACTACACGCATGAAAAAAGAAACGGACGTTTCTGTGACTATGTTAACAAGAATAGACTAGCTTATTGCAGTCATTAACTCGAAACAGTTTGAGCTCAGCTCAGTATTGAGCTCAAAGTTTATAAGCTTGCTCCGCCCATATGAGAAGCAAGCCAAGCTGAGTTTGCGCTCAAAAAACACTAAACAAGCCAAACTCGAGTAAGGTAATATTCGGTTTGATTTGACTAATTTACAGCCTTAAGCACACCTGAGGTCCATCGAGATGACATCTGATGAGTGCACGGAGTGCGGTGTTTCAAAAGCATGGCTTATTTCAAAAAAATTAATAAAATAGCCATACGGAATACTCGATAATAGACTGTTTTACAGCTTAACGTGAAAATTAAGAATGCACAAGCTTATAGAAGTTTTTCTCATAATTTTGGTTTAGCTCCATAATGACTAAATATGGGATTAAAGATGGTTAAAAAATGCAAAAAATTTTGTAGCTCAATTAAGTAAATTGTAATCGAATTAACGAGTCTGATTCCTCACACTCCTTATTGTTTGTGTAAAGAAACAAATGTTAGGGAGATCAAATTTTTAAATCATCCACATGATGCGGCGGTTGATGATTGGACTCATTTTTTTAATAATTTAAAGAATAAATCCAACCATTAATCGTCGCATCATGTAGTTTCAAAATATGATTAAAATTTTGATCTCTATAGCATCACCTATAAAAAAAAATAAATATAAAAAAAAATATATATATATATATATTCCATTAACTGTGAAAGTGCTATAAATTTTGATTTCAGTAGCTTTACCCTAAAATCAAGAAAACTTATTTTCCCAAATTGAAAAGTCAAACAGAGAGGAGATAGCCGTACGTAATTTATGAAACTTTCCATCTACCACTCCAAATCTTAAATGGCGATCTCAAATTCTTAATCATCAATTCTAACAAATATATAAATATATAACAAAAGAGAAGAGATATTCAAAATTGTAGTGCTCCCACGCCAGCAGAAAATCATAATTTTTAACCAAGAATGCAAGTCCACTATCATTCGCTAATGAAGATTCCACGTCACATCCCGGTCCGGGTGGGATTACTTTGCGGGCCCGACTCCACCGTAGCACAATATTGTCCGTTTTGGGCCCCGACCACGCCCTCACGGTTTTATTTCTAGGAACTCACACGAGAACTTCCTAATGGATCACCCATCCTGGAATTGCTCTCGCACGCTACTCGCTTAACTTCGGAGTTCCTACGGAATCCGAAGCCAGTGAGCTCCCAAGAGGTCTCGTGCTAGGTAGAAATGAGAATATACATATAAGAATCACTTCCCTGGGGATGTGGGATGTTACAATCCACCCTCCTTACGGGCCCAACATCCTCGTCGGCACACACGCGACCAGGGTTAGGCTCTGATACCAAATTGTCACATTCCGTCCCGGGCTGGGATGTGACATTCCAGATTTCTTCCTTTAGCTAAATATATTGTATTTAACGTAGATTGATTTGTATATGATTTCCATCCTCGTTAGGAGTTAGGACTTTATGTAATTTCTTCTATATAATGTAATATTCAATAAATCAATGAATAATGTGGAAAATAGATATGCACATGAAATTGAATATGTAATATATTTTTTTCAACAGTAAGTAATACGAAATAATATTAGTAATTTAAGTTTTTCCTTTCAATTTTTTTGTGTTTCTCTTAAATGGAAAAGATTATCTCTATCGCTATTTAAAAAAAAATTGAAGGAAGAAAAACTTGAAAATTAAAATGATTGTGTAGAAGAACTTACCCGAAACCTTGACCAAGAATGCTTGTAAGTGCGGCTCAACCGAAAGAGAGAGCCAAGCTAAATTAACGGCCGCAGCCCATCTCCGCACAGCTTCATCAGCCGAATCACAAGCTGCCAGCTTCTCAGCCAACCAAAGCACCTCAGCCGCCAGTTTCTCCGCCGAGCTCCTCGTCCCGCTCGCCCTCGTCCCTCTTATCCACGTCACGTCCCCAATCGATCGAACCGCCCGTAGAACCCGCCTCAACCGGTATTCTGCCGGTCGAGCGGGCCCCAACAAATCAACGCCATCACCTCCCCGCACATCTCCTTGTTCGAGGGCGGCGGCGGCTTCAAGCTGGCTAAGAGTAGTGGAAAAAGCCGCGGAGAGAACAGTACGGTTGACTTGACGTAAAGCCTCAACGCCCTCTTTTTGGTTGTCGTCGATGAGGCTCTCTGCTAAAGATCGAACCACTTGGTACTTGCGGGAGGTTACGGGGATGTCGTTGACGAGGGACAACAGCTGCGAAAGCGCTCGGCCGATAGCAGAGTCGCCGCCGCAAGTAATAGTAGCAGCACCGCCGCTTGAGGCGGGAGTGTAATCGTAATGATCATGAGTAGTGCTGTGGTTACTAGACTTGTTGAAAGTGGGAGGCTTATAGTGATAGGGTTGGGTATTGTTAGGGTTTAGAGGAGGAAGCAAACGGAGGAGGAAGATGAAGGAAGTGACGAAAACGTAGCGAAGGAGTTGGAGGAGTTTGGATTTCTGAGACAAGTTTAGGAAGGATTTGTCTGCGAAGATAAAGACGGAGGCTACAAGGTTGCGAAGAAGCAAAGGAGATACGGTGGTTGGAGACCAGCCTTCCATCATCACCATCCTCCTAAATTAGGGTTTTTCTGTTCTTTTTTGTTTGTTTGGTCAGAAAGGTTGTTGGGGTTCAGATTACTTGCGTGAGTATATACAAGGAAGGTAAGGTGTGTGGTGTAAACTTTAGAGGAAGAAAATGAATGAGGATCGAGTGGAGGGATTAAAAATGGGTGGTGTTCTTTTATCCGGCCAGTTGTTGGACCATGACGACGACAATTATGTTTTCTAGTCAATTCTAGGCCTATTTTGTTTTGTTTTGTTACGTGGTTCTGCTGCTTTCCTGTGTACGCACTCCTCGTCGTAAGGAAAGTCAAATGTTGCACCTACTGCCAATTCTTAGTATCCGGATCTCATCCTTATCTTTAAAAACTGCTAAGCAGGCAAATATGGTCATTAAAATTTGATCAAATAACTACAAATAAGGGATTCTTTAAAAGTTATAATAATTGTAGCCGTTGGATTAAATTTCAGAAGCCACGATTGCCTGCTTAGCAGGCTCAGTTTTTTAAGGTCAAGAGGGGATCCGGATCCCAATTCTTAATCCCTTTGCGTGCTGTTCGTCACACTTGCACTGGAGGGCATTAGCATTCGTTGAGAGTGTAATATATAATTGAGCTACTCTGCATATTGTTAATTAATATTATGGTAGAATCATAACTTTTTTCATGATATCATAGCTTAGTTGTTCTGCGTGAAGTCCATCCACACTTGCTCTACATTAGTCGATTTGTGTAGTCCACATAGTAGGTTTGAAAATTCGTCACATATAAAGGAACATGTAGAAAGTATGAATCTCTTATTGCTTAAAGAAGCATGAGTTGGATGATATTAATTTGACTTCTAATTATGCGTTTCTATGAACATTACTAAACTTTTTGACTACTAATCACAATGGCCACAGTTGTGCCAAAGTTCGCCCATAAGTGGGCCCTTAAGCATGATGCTATTGGTGTTGGCCACACCAAGTACTGGTTTGGTACTAAGGTGCTTTTATAAAAAGTGAGTATTAAAAAAAGCTGAGCTCAAAAAGGTGTTTGGTAAGCACTTAAAAACAACTTATTTTCACAGTTTTGAGTGAAAAATAACTGAAAATGTGAAGCAGCAAAATGAGATTATTCTCACAGCACATTAGAAACAATTTTGTTTCAAAGCACAACAATACCAAGTTAGATAAGAAGTTTCCAGTTTGTTTCCGGTGGTTTTAAGACCATGAGCTTCAGTTGTATGAACTAGCAATAAAATGTTATGAATTTACTTTAATTTATTTAACTTTCTGCATTTTTCTTTCCCGTATTTTTCTTTTTGGGTTATGTCGATTGAAGGAGAAAAATCAAAATATTGGAAGAGGAGAGAAAAGGCTTCAATATTTGAACTTGAGAGTGGTAGGAGGAAGAAGCAGAAGATAAAAAGGGAAAATAAAACAGAAAAAGTAAAGTGCGGCGCTGGAAGAGAAGAGGAAGTGAGACAAGGGGCTATGGAATAGGATTTGTTATTCAGACACATTTCTATTTTTTATATACTTATCTTAATTTTTTACCGTAAAATCAAATAAAGAAGAAGACTAATAGATAAAAATCTACAAAAGTATGTTAAAAGTAAAAATTGATGTGTGAATAACACTAGTCTATGAAATAATGGGAACATTATGATTTATATCAAACTAATATTTTATATCTTTATATTTTGGGAGTTCCTTTCAAAAAGAATAATTTGGATTAAACTTCCCCGATATATTTTAAGCGGCAGGATTTCGGCTTCAGAACAACAACAAAAAGGTGAGGGAAACGGAGACACGTCATCACAAGAAAGTAGAAAAACTCCAAAACTATGGTTGGCCGAAAGAGGTTGAAGTTATAACCCCTAGGTGTTAGTGTACACGTAATTAAACTAAGGGTGTTATCCGCACATCTCATTTTACTTCTCACACATCTTTTGATAATTTATGTCTATTGATCTTCTTTAATTCATCTGATCAGATGATCGAAAATTAAAAAGATGTGTGAGAAATAAAATAGAATGTGGATATTACATCCCTTAAACTACTATGTAATCCCAAAGGCAACACTCAATGTGTGACCTAAATATGAACCAATGGTACTACTTTTGTAAATAATACAAAATAGTAACTCTTTTGAAATTATTTTGTTGGGTCAAATAACATTTCGTCGGGCAATGTTCGTCATTCAAAATTTTTCGCCCAAATGTTTGCCCGACGATCTGACGAAATAATCTCATCGAGCAAAGTGCATTGACTAACTTGGCAAGACGAATGAATATTTTCCTATGCCATTATTTCTTCGAGTTTCTAGAAATAAAAAAAATTTAAAAATATTTTCCCCATGAAATATTCTTCGGGTAATGAATTTAAATAAAAAATACAATAAATACATGCTCGACAAATGTATGCGTTGTAAAGTGTGTAATGATTTTCAGAAGTTCGTAATTAAAATAATAGTTAATCTAAATAAATAAATTATATTAATCTAAACAGTTAAAATAAATCACAATATTTTGTTCAAAAAATAAATCACAATATTAAAGAAATTTATTTAATTATATTAAAAAAAATAAAGTATTTGTACAATTGTATGTTAAAAATACTAAACTAACTGGGGTGGCTACTGTGGCGGCTGGTGGGATGGCTGTTAAAGGTCGCTTGAGAATCAGGAAGGCGAATGCCAGAGGCTGACATCGCTTGGGCCTTCGTAGAGGCTGACATTGCTTGGGCCTTTCTCGCTAGCGCACAGTTGTTTTCCGAGCTTATTCTCGCTGGCATGCAACTTCTTCTCGTTAGCGTGCTTCTTCTCTAACTTCTTCTCATTGGCACGCAACTTCTTCTCATTAGTGTGCTTCTTCTCTAGCTTTTTCTTCTCACTGGCGCAAGACTGCTAACTCCATGTTCAACTACTGTAGTTTGGCAAACGTCTTGCTTGTAGTGTGACAGCTTGATGAAGAAGATCCCCCGAGATCCCGAACACGAGCCGCTCCTAGGTCGCGGAGTTCTTTGCCTTTCCATTTCCCAATCCGATAATGATTTGCTTGATTGGTCAATAAATTTAAGAAATAATTACGATATTTTGGGTTGTCATTGTTTGCCCCTGTTCTAAACTTAAATATACATCAGTATGCTATGACATGAAATACTATTTAGCTAAATTGTTCCTGGTTCGATCTTTTCCAGTGACTGCTATCACTTTCTTATTACTAATCTCCTTAAGAGATTTGATCAAAATCAATAATTTTTCCAAGATGGCTGAGACAATTATTCGAAGTAGAGTAGGAGTAGCAGAAATTGAAGGAAAGATGAGAGAAAATCGGTTACAGTGGTTTGGACATGTGAAACAAAGGCCTACTGACGCTCTTGTTATAAGATACGATAACGAGATAGAAGTTCAAGGCCGAAGGGGTAGAGAAAGACTTTGGAAGAGACTCTAAGAAAATATTTGGAATACTTGGATCTAACGGAAGACGTGGCACAAAACCGAGCGCAATGGCGTTGTAGTATTCATACAACCGACCCCACTTAGTGAGAAAAAGTTTTGTTGTTGTTGTTGTTGATGATGACATGGCGAGGTGAGCCAAATCTACGCCACAACATCAATTAATGAAGCACTTGAGGGAAAGACTAACGGAAATATAAAAATTGTAGAAAAATCAAACTTCAAGTTTAACAGTGATATGAAAAAACTAATGTTGTCACATCCCGGCCCGAGCCCCCACCACCACATCCGGGGCTCAACTTCAACGTAGCACGATATTGTCCGTTTTAGGCCCCGACCACGCCCTCACAGTTTTGTTTATGGGAACTCACACGAGAACTTCCCAGTGGATCACCCATCCTAGGATTGTTTTCGCATGAACTCGCTTAACTTCGGAGTTCCTACGGAACCCAAAGCCAATGAGCTCCCACAAAATCTCGTGCTAGATAGAAATGAGAATATACATATAAGGCTTACAGGATCCTCACCCCTGGGCGATGTGGGAAGTTACAATCCACCCCCCTTAGGAGCCCGACGTCCTCGTCAGCACACTTCCGGCTAGGGATTGGCTCTGATACCAAATTGTCACATCCCAGCCCAAGCCCCCACCACATCCTAGGCTCGACTCCACTGTAGCACGATATTGTCCGCTTTGAGCCCCGACCACGCCCTCACGATTTTGTTTCTCAAAACTCACAAGAGAACTTCCCAGTGGATCACCCATCCTAGGATTGCTCTCGCGCAAACTCGCTTAACTTCGGAGTTCCTACGGAACTCAAAGTCAGTGAACTCCCAAAAGGCCTCGTGCTAGGTAGAAATAGGAATATACATATAAGGCTTACAGGATTCTCACCCCTGAACGATGTGGGATGTTACAAATGTAGTAATGTCAGAATTTTGGGAAACTTAAGGATAGTAAAATGAAAATTACCTAAAGAAAAATTAACAGGTACAACATTGGCTCTTTCTTGGGATTTTTGATTTTTTGTTTTTTTTTTTGTTTTCCTATAATGATTTTCCTGTGAGATAAACAAAGTATGTGCTTTTCATTTCTCAAAAGGGGATGATATATTAAGTATATAGAGGCCTCTCAACATCAGTCCCAAACAGATTAATTACAAAAGATAAATAATATGCACATAAGTGGAACAAAAACTTATCGCGGCCGCCAAACAAAACATCACCTCTTTCCCTTAGTTTTCTTCTGCACGAGTATTACGACACATAATTGTTGTTGGCAGGGACTCAAGTCATCAGTTTCCTTAGTCTTTTTTCAGCAAGATTGGCAACCTTATTTTGAGGTTCAAGAACAAGGGCATGCTTGAAATCTTCAAATGCCAAACAAGAAAATAAGAAACAAGCTAAACCAACCATAATTGCATATTTTTCGATTGAGCTCAAGTAGTTCGTCTTATAATCATACGATTGAGCACAAGTGATGATACAAGATATGTCATATATCAGAGCAGCTTTCATAAATATTGAAGAAGCAGCAGAATGCAACAAAGCATATGAGTGGGTTCTGACCTTGAGCAGCCTCCTTATAACAAAGAAGTGATTCTCTAGCTGTTCCACGTCTAAGATATGCCTTCACATTCTGCAAAAATGTCAGAAAAATGAAAAGATAAAAATGGTCACAAACAATGAAAAGTTTGTACAGCTTCGAAGAGACAATTTACATTCACAGCCATACACACAGCGCAAATTCTGTTAGAACTAGGAGTCGACCCTCATGAAGTAGGCATACTCAATAAAGGGTCGCAAGTAATACAAGAGATAGATAAAAACAACTATGACTGAGCTGAACACGTGGATCAACTGTCGGCCTATTACACAAAGAACTGTCTGTAAGTCATTAATAACTACTTTCGCTTCAATCTCTAGTTCACAACGCTTCCCGGCACATGTGGCCAGACTGAGCAGAACAAGTGGAACTATACTGATTGACATGAAACTTGTGTGGTCAAATTGAGCCTGATATGCCATGTAAATAATATGCTCCCTACCATATGAAACTAAAAGCATCTAACTCGACCAATTGGCATTCAGTGGAGAATCCCAGAATTTTATGAATTTGTGATGCATGGCTTCAAATTCTCTATGTGAGATTTCTATTCTCAACACAAGTGATTTGAGGATTCAACAGAGCCCAAATTTCCACCATGGCCAGGTGTGTACTGGGGAGGTCTATGAATTTCATCGATTAGCTTGAATTGGTATTTTTCTATTCTATTGAAAGGATGCTCCTGGAAACAGTAAGCGTTGAAGAGTAAAGAACCACAATCAACAAATAAAAGGAATTACCCTAATGATTGTTGGTCATCCAGTTTTGATAGCTTACTCCACTATAGAACACTGTTGAACAAAGGAAATCCCTAAATGACTTTGTGGTAACATAATATTGTTGAACAAAGTAAATCCCTAAACGACTTAGTGGTAACCATCAGAAGGAGGTAAATTGAACTCCCAACTGCACTAACAGAATTGATGACAATAAGCATAACATGATTTGGTTTGTAGTGCTTTGACCAATAGTTATAGAAACAAAGAATCTAAGAACATGCATGCAATAGAATGACTTTATTACCTTTTTGTCAAGTGATATTGCCTTGCTGCAGTCCTCTTCAGCTTGCTGGAAGCTGCATGATTGAAATTGATAAGCGCACAGATACAAATGAAATGCAACAGAAGGATAAATTGACAGATCAGATGGGCATTTCTTACCACCCCAACTCCAAGTAAGCAGCTGCCCTGTTGGAGTAGTAAGTTGCACTCATCATGTTCAATTTGATAGCTTCAGTATAATAGTTGACAGCCTTATTCCATTGCCTTCCCTTAAATGCGGCATTTCCCTGGAAAAAGTTGAGTAAACATAGAAATTGATATAACAAAATAATACTAATTGATAAAGTAGTTTCAAAATTTTTTTGCTGGTAGAAAATGAAATTAACAGAACTGAGCAAAATATTCGGCATAGCAAAAGGGGAAGAACAACACACCCTGATCTTTGACCCTTGTCTCACTTTTGTCCATATTTTATGCCAATGGAAATTGAGACATTATGCACACTAAAGGGTATCGTTAACAGGAAGGGACAAAGATTCAGACCCAAAATATCGTCCTATAAAGGTGGGAAGTACCATTCATGCAGAGAATGTGTAAAGATGACAAAAAATAATAAAATATTGAAGAGGACTTGACAAAATGAAGCATTGAAAACTAAGATGAAGAGATTTTAGCGGTGAACAAACCTTCTCTTTTAAGAGTTCTGAAGCATCCATGTTACCATTGGTATCTGGCAATGGCGATGTATGGGATGCAATGCTGACTTTCTCCTGAACTGAAGAGTACATGTCCAAGACTATATCAAGGAGAAATTTATCGGCACCATGGAACGCGATGAATGAAACAGAGATGGGGCAGTCATTGTGCTTTCCTACTGGTACTGTAACCTGGCCATGTGCAAATATAATCATGAAAATAAGTTTCAAAGCTACAGATACTCAAAGATAAATTTGAATGTTCAAACTTTAAAGTACTCAGTTACCTGACAGCACCCAGACATGCTGGCAATGCTTGTTAATGCTAATGTTCTATCATTAAACTCAGATGACCGCCCTTTCTTTGTATTAAGCTTTAACGGAGGATCTGCAATTGTGGGAATCACTAATATTCCATCATCCTGGGACACCAAGAGGTTGTAAGAAATATAGATACATAAAATGAGGTATTGTGTATATAAACAATCAATTTGAAAGAAATTGAAGAAGAATAACAATAAAGCAAGGCCAACTCAATATTTTCACATAATAACTTTGTTCAAAACAATTTAAAATGTAAACTATGCAGGAGTACTGGAGCTGCAGACAGTTATTCCCCCTTTACTGGTTTCATAAGGAAGGAGGGGTGGGAGGAATAACAATATAAGAGAGCTCAGGTTGTTGGAGCTCAATACGCCAGTGAAAGTAGACAAGAAAGCTAAAGCTGACCCACCCCTTCAATATTTGTATTTTTCAAATTGTTGGCCATAACAAATCAAAGGAACAAACTTCGCTGACTTCTATTATTATTAGTACAAGGTTGGAAAGATTTGCAGCTATGTTAACTAAAGTGACTAAACTGGGAACTAAGTTTTAAATATAGTTCATATATCTAATTGTCCAACCGAAGCAATACAGGAAAGAGAAGAAGAGGGAGAAACCAAGAGCATCAAAGATTATTCAAGCTGACTCCAAATCAACAAAAATCCATTTCAGCTTCTCTTTATTCAATCAGACTTGATATTTCTTATCCTAAAACCTAATCGCGTACTTTGGAATCAACTCATCAGAGAAATATTCCAGCTCACTCCATATACTGATATATACACTACATTGAAGTTTTCACAACCAACTCTCCTGCCTCAGATTAAAGACTTGCTAGATTTGGTCTTCTTAGAATACCATAACAAACAACAGTAATAAAAGAATATTTATATTTAGAGAAAGATACTGCAACAGAAAAAGAAGAACATTTCATGCAGTTTACAATTCAGTGACAATTAAAACATTTCTAACCTTGATAAAATTTCTCTGTGGGAGTCACTTTATTACTACTTAACACCAGTGAACTATATATCGATTGAAGCCAAATAAATATAACAATCTGTACGGAGTTGGATACCTTTAAAAGACTTTGAAGGGCAGCTCTCATCTCAGTCCTTACTTTATATAGGGTTTTCATGTTTTCATTTGTAAAGTTAATTGCTGCACGAACACGATCTGATACATCAGGCCCTAGCTTTGGTTTCGCTGACTTAACCCACTCTTCATGATTGGTTTTGAATTCACAACTGAAACAAATTTATAGATGTCAAATTAGTAGAGAGAGAGAAAGAGAGAGACAGAGAGCTTATCAAATTTCCTTTCCCATAAAGGTAACTCAAAGGAATTTGAGAAGATTTAATTGACCTGAATAATCTTAGAATACCTCTGTATCAAAAGCATCACAGAAGAGAGAGTTTTCAAGGTAAATACTCCATTTTGATGTTTTGTGGATTCTTCACAAAATCCTTTTAAACTGGGTACACTTGAAGCAATATACTGACTAAAATTCATATGCTTTGGAGGTTGGTCTGCAGAGGCAGAAAAAGAAGTAACTTCAACATAGTTATAGTTGGTTTACTTGTGTACGAACTCCCAACGCATTATGACAATAGAGGGACTGCATAGCTGACTTTAACATTGATCTATAAAGATTAAAAGAAATGGCAATGACTCTGGAGCTCTATATGTGTGTGTGTACATATTCTCAAGTGAAGTAACTTACACCCGGATAGATGTTCGATTGCTTTGCTGACAACATGTACTGTCTTCTCAGTAGGAACTTTAGAAAGCTGAAAGAGATCATCGGCAAAAATAAGGTGTCTCGCCCTTTTAGGTTCCACAGAATTCAGTTGAAGCAAAACATGTCCAACACGACGTAGAATAGATGGATCGCGGGCAAAGATTCCTAAAAGACCACAACAATGTCAAATAAAGAAGGTGAAAGAACTATAAAAGAGAAACCATAAACCAGAAGTAGAAGTGCCCAAGCATACCAACAGCGTCTAAACTTTGTGAATTTGGCAAAACTCCAAGCATAGATACAGCCCCATGGGATGGTCGGTACCCAATGACACCACAAAATGATGCTGGAATTCTAACACATCCAGTTGTATCAGTACCTATAAAAGTATAAGAACTTGAAAGGATCAGCTGATACTATAAAAAAGCCAAACCACGAGGGTATGTTTTTATGTGCATGATTACAGAGTTAGCCTGATCTCAGTGCCCGAGCAGGTGATTTGATAGCTACAACCTTTTTTCATTGCGACTTGAGATGAAACATAAGAGTATGAATCTAATTCTAAAATATAGGCAAAATTTTAACCGAACCAAGAGTAAAATGAAGTAGAAATTCTGCAACGACAGTAAAATGAAGTACAAATCCTCGGAGGAGCTTACCAAGAGCAAAGTCAACAAGACCGGCTGCAACAGCCACGGCAGAACCACTGGAAGAACCTCCCGGAATATGGGATTGTAATTGGGGATTCACAGGCGTTCCATAATGCACATTCTCACCAGTAATCCTACAAACAACAACTAGGTATCAAAAGTTCGTCACTTTTATACATTGTTAGTTGTTTTTGACATTTTAATTTGAAAGGGAATGCACAAAGTAACAGAAAAATGATGAGTACCCAAAGCTGAGCTCGTCCATGACGGTGTGGCCATAGCAAGTAGCCCCATTTTTTAGCAGAGTCGTCACCACAAACGCCGTCTTGGTCGCCGCTTCATGCGTTCGCGCCCAATCGGGACTCCCAAACCCCGTCACATTTCCCTTCACATCAAATCTGAAACAAACCCATCCACCCATAAACCAAATCAGAAAGAATCACCACAAAAAAAAAAAAAAAAAATGAAAGTAAAAGCAAAAATAACTGAGATAGAGCGAGAGAGAGACATGTCGGAGATGGCGAAGGAGAGGTTGGCGAGGAGCTGAGTGGCGGCAGGGGGAGGGGGCTGAGGGAAGGGGATGAGCTGGAATCGAGGCTCCATAAATGGTTCGGATAGAAGGATTTGGGTTCCGGCTCGGCGTCGTCTTCGCCTGTGGGTCTCGGCCAGGACCACGATCCCTGCGACGGTGAGACCGATGATGATCCAGGTTTTTGGGTTGGAGGAGACATTGGCCTTGATCGCCTGCAGAGGCTGCGGCTGAAGCTTCCACATGATCAACGATCAACGATCGCGACAAGGACAGCAGTGAGCCCAGCAGCCAGCAGCAACAAGGGGTTTTGCGGGTTTGGGGTTTGGCAGGGTTTTACATGGCAACCTGCGACCGTGGGTTTGACGCGCGAGTCCTGCTCGTTCTTCTTTTTTCCTTTTTTTTTTTTTTTTTTTTTTTCTTTTTCTTTTTTGCCTTTTTCTTTTTTTTTTTTCTTTTTTCTTTTAATAAATAGAAAAATAATTGGCGTAATGATAGGGTCTCCTCCTTCGGTCCGACTTGGTGGCGACTGGGCTCTCCGTCCTCACTTGCACGTGAGGTCACTGCTTCTCCAGCTTCTCCAGCTTCTCCGTCCTCATGTTTTTCCTCTAATTTAATTTGTAAGCTTCTTTACAAATGGAATTAGGGTTTTCGAATCCATGCTCCCTCTGGGAAATTAGGATTTGACAGGTTTTAGGGATTTAAAGATTCAATCTTTCGGGGTTTTATGGATTCAATTTTAGGGTTTTGCAGCTCAGATCTCAAATTTGTGGGCGTTTTACTAAATTTGATATTATTTTTCATATTTCAGCGGCGATTTCCCACCCAATTTTCCCTTCCTCGATCCGTCCCTGCATTAAGCAATGAGCTTGGCGTTCCTCCAGGGCTATTCTTCCCCTGAAGAAGAAGAGCAAGATCACCGCCTCCATGACCATGGCTCAAGCTCCACTGACGATGATGATAGCGACGACGGCGATGACCAAGCCCACAAAGCCACATCCGTCTTTGACTTTCCAAAACCCTCCTCCTCCGTTGCTTCTACCCTACCTTCTGCATCCGACGTCTTTTCTGAGGTACCATTTTACGCTAATTCACCCCATTTTTCTTTCAATTCTTTGCAACTAACCATACACTTTGAATTTGAATATCTCTTTTGCTGATTTTTTTTTGGGTTAATTTTCTGTCTCTTGGTTTGGATTAATTGAGATTTCCGGACCACCCGAGTTTCTAAACAACTGCGTACAAGAAGACCCTTCCGCAAGGGACGCCGGCCCTCAGCGAGGGAGGCATGGTGTTCGCAACGGCAAACTTCAGAAGGAAAAGAAAGATTTACCTTCTGGTTGGTACTATTTCATTTATATATCAATGCTATACAATTTATCAGTGAGTATTTGGTTCTCTTATTATGCATAAGATTCACCTAAAATTGTATTACTGCAGTCAGAGATACTCTATTTTAAGTCATAGAAAAATTAGTTTTAAGTTATAGCAGCGGCTAACAACATCGTGATTATCAGTAAATACAATTTTTATGCTAGGCACGGTGGAAAAAAAAATTGATGTTAGAATACGAATTTATATTCTGTCTAGGAACAATTGAGGTTAATTATCTACTAGATATGCATCTTATCTCCGTACATCTATGGTTGAGATGCATGTCCTGAACTTAGGTCCTTGTTAGATCCGAACCGGTAGTTCTTATAATGGAAGTGATTGTGGCAGTAGACGTTATACTATGATGCTTATTAGAGATGTATTTTCTACATGTTTCAAAATTCAGTTGTAATCGTATACTTATTGGAGTAGAGTAGATGATACTTTCTAAGTTTTCTCATGAGTTTCCTTGAGCTGTGTTGCTTAGAGATGACTTCTTCAATATGATATGCTTTATTTTGTAATTAGAATTCCTAAGTTAGGAAAAGCATAGCTGTCTATGCAATATCAACATGAAATTTTGTGGTGTCTTGGATTTGTGTTATAAAGCCATGTCTATTCGACTTTAATCTCAATTCTCTTGGAACAAGAATTCCAAAATATATATATATAACTGTTAATTGCGCCATTATGTCAAACTGATGGACGTTATCTGTGTTTTGGATGCTCATGTCAGTGTTTTCTTCAGCGGGAACAGAAAGACTTTTTGCAGTCAATAAACTAATTAGAAAGATATGGAAGAGGAATTGGTTAAATGTCGATAAAATTTTACAATTAAGTGGTTATGCGTATAGTACTATGAGTTTGTCTAATAATTATCTGGTTTTTTTACTTTCTGCATAAGTGTACTGTAAAAGAATTCACTCTTGTTAAATTTGTGTACAGGTGCTGTAGTGGAGTCCAAAGCTCATTTAGTTGGAATTCATGAGCGAGTAAGAAGTGATTTTGAGGGTAAGCAACCTCCAACATCAGTGGTTACGAGCACCGCGGAAGGTGCCAAGCGTGTGCCAACTGCAACAAATCCTAGTGCAGAAGATGCTGCAGCGCTTCTTAGGTATGTATCGCTGTATCTCCCTCTCCCCGACCCTTTTTTCCTTAAAAAGAAAACTTTCGTGATTCCTGCTAGTGCTGAGAGACAATGGCTGGTTGAGATATTTTTGTTTAGGAAGTAGGTAATTTGGTTGGAGTTCTTGTAATTGCCTAAATTTAAATATTTCTCTTGATAGGATGTGTTTGCAATGTGGAATACCCAAGACCTACTCCAATGCAAGGGGAATGGTCTGCCCAACATGCGGAGATCGTCCTGTAGATCCAACCAATGATTCCAAGAAGAAGGGATCTACGGTGAAAGATAAGGAGAAGAGTAAGAGGATGAAGGGACAGTCGTCTCATGCTACATGGAAAAGTGAAACTGAAATGCATCTTCGACAGCAGTTTGACTAGCTGAGTAGGCGTAACGTCTTTTAGGTTTAATGGATGTATGATGTAGCTTAACCATCAGTTCAGTTAGCGGACCTAAGGCACTGCGGGTGAATGCGAAGTGCTGTGTTTTTTCGGATTCATGACAGATCCAAAGTGTGATTTTTGTTTGCTTTTATCCTTTAATCGAGGTGACAGATCCAGTTCATGGAAAAGAATTTAAATAGTGCTCACAGCAGCTGGTTGAAGACCAAAGTTACCTAAATCTCCATCTTTTCGAAGTCCCAAAATGTGACCTAAGAATTTGTTGCCTTAAAAGAAAATTTTAAGAGAGACGGTTCTCTCATGTTGTAATAACCTGAGATTTGTCGACTGTCGTTAACTCCTAAAGGGCAAGTCATTTGCAAAGAAAAACCCTCAAATTTTCAAGCTAACGTACAGGTGACATTTGTACATTTAGGTTTAGCCTAGCTGGTTAGGGCAGTGTGTTTTCATCTTTGTTCTCAAGTTCAAAACTTCGTCTTTGTAACTTAAATGATTTTGATGTAGAATTGCGGTTGTATTAAAAGAATTTTAAAAGCTGACGTCAGTCGACCATTTTTTAGTAGTATTATTATGTTCGTTTCTTTCATTTATTTAAATTTAGTAATACTATTCTTATCATGTTTTTATATTATACTTATATATATGGACAGCTATATCATTTAAATTTAATTTAAATAAAAACCATTAATAAACCAATAATTTAAAATTTAAAAAAAAAAAAAAAAAAAAGAAGAAGCTGTAATTAAATGTTGATTGTGACATATGAGGAGTTTTCTTCTTCCTTCTGTATTCAATCTTGCTTCTTCTCCCGTTTCTTCTTCCACGCCAGTTCTTTCATGCCATTTTTTTACCCCAATTTTTTTTCACGTTAGTGTGGTAGTATTCTCAACTAATTCTCATACGGCAAAGATTCATCGACACTCTCCTATTTGGATTATTGGTAAGCATTTACCATTATTTTTTAATGAGTTTATATTTTTTTAGTTTGTTTAATTCTTCTTCTTTCTCTTGATCTCCATTGGAATATTTACATAAATCTTTTTGTTCATAGAAAAATGACACTAGGGGTTGAAGAAGAAGCCGAAAATTTGAAGGACACTAACCATGTGATGGTTATTAACAGTCCAATATATGAAAGTAATTATTTTTATTATTTATTGGCATTTAGTTTCTACTACATAATAATTTTAAGCAAGTTACAATGATGAGATGAAGGTTAGTGGTGTTAGGATGAAGGTTAGTATCTATAATTGGCTTAGTTCCTCAATAATGCATTAGAGACCTTATTAATGGCAAACAAATAAAGAGACATTTTTTCACTTTCAGATTAGGCTTTCTAATCACGTTCAAATTAGGTTTTCTGATCACGAGAAACCTAACCATTACAGCAAAGATGAAAGAAATAGTATTACATATTGTAATATTGTTGTGATCGACATTATACATCACTTCGTGCTAGGGATAAAAGATATTTTGTTCTGGGGTTTGTTTTTTGAGCCATTGTAGTGCATACACTAGAATTAAGAGACTTGCACATATGGCAGGTGTATTTGCATTGATAGTGTGGTGTAATGTATAAACTTGTATAATTATGTTTTATGTTTTAGGAACTGGGAGTTCTTTTAATGAATTTACTGAAGAAGATGATGTAGTTGAAGTCAGTTCCTGTAATGAAACAGAAAGCAATACGGTTCATACAATAGAAACTTCTAATGAAAGTATTGAAGAAGATAATGTAATTGAAGCAACTTCTGATGCCATTGAAGCAGAAAGCAATGGGGTTCATGCGATGAAAAATAATGGGACTAACATGGAGAACACAATGAATGTGGAAGAAAATGTCCAAGAGCCTCGATTGGAATGATCCTTGACAACGCGGATCAAGTGGCTACATATTACAAGAAATATGGGAGACAATCAAGATTTCCAGTGACAAAGAGATCACCAGCGAAGGGAGATGATGGAAAATTGAGGTATATTACTATGTGCTGCACTCGATCAGGTACATCAAAAAGTACTTCAAGTAATCATCTTAAGCCATATCCAAGTATAAAGAATTATTGCAATGCTCAACTAAGGGCAGATTTGTACTTGGATGAGAAGTGGCAAGTGAATTATGTAAAGCTTGATCATAATCATGGGTTGAGTCCAACAAAAACTCGTTATTGGAAATGTTTTTGGGAAGTTAGTTCTTCTGTAAAAAAGAACCTTGAAGTGAATGATAAAGCTGGAATAAGGGTCAACAAAAGTTATAATTTAGTGGTGGTTGAAGTTGGGGGGCATGACAACATGAAGTGTTTAGAAAAAGATTGAAGAAATTATATTGAAAAAGTACGGCGCTTACGACTTGGAGAAGGGGATGCCACTGCAGTTTTGCTTTGTAAACATGCAAGTTCATAATGCAAATTTCTTCTATGCAATTGATTCATACAAAAATGGTCATTTAAGAAATGTATTTGGACAAATGCAAGGCGTAGAGCAGCATATGAAGAATTCGGTCATGCTTGACTAATAAGTACGATATGCCATTTGCTCCATTTGTGGGGGTTAATCATCACGGGCAATCAATTTTATTGGGATGTGGGTTGATTTCAAGAGAAGATACCAACTCCTTTATTTGGTTGTTTAATACCTGCTTGCTTGTATGGATGATCATACTCCAAGTCGAATAATTACATATCAAGACAAAGCTATGAAAAGAGCGATTAAAGTTGTTTTTCCTAATACTAGACATCGGTTGTGCTTGTGGCATATAATGAAAAAGGTTCCTAATAAGCTCAAAAGTTATAAGGAATATGAGTCCATGAGCTCTTCCTTAGATAGCATTGTTTATGACTCAATGACTTCTGAAGATTTTGAAGAACATTAGGCTGAGATGATTGGAAAATATAAATTTAAAAAGCAAGCACGTAAATGGTTAAGACACCTGTATGCAAAGAGACATCATTAGGTGCATGTGTATGTGAAAAATAAACTTTGGGCTAGAATGTCAACGACACAAAGGAGTGAGAGTATGAATGCATTTTTTTATGGCGACGTGAACTCCAAGACTACTTTAAAACAATTTGTGGAGTAATATGAGAATGCATTAAGGAGTAAGGTGCTAAAAGAGGCATTTGCAGATTCTGATTCTTTCTCTTCAAATGTTCGTTGTGCAACTCATTATGACATGGAAAAGCAAGTTCAAGTTGTTTACACGATTTCAAAATTCAAGGAGTTCCAAAAGGAATTGACAAGTATAATGTATTGTGACAGGGTTTCAGTTGAAATTGATAATACAATTTTGGAGTACCAAATAGTTGAGCGTATTCTAATCAAGGAGAACAAAAAGAAGACCGTCATTTTCAAGATCCAATTTAATGAGCGCGACATTGCAGTTAATTACAATTGCTGCAAGTTTGATTTTAGAGGCATATTATGTAGACACGCGCTTTATGTTTTAGTTCATTATGATATTGACTTTATTCCAGATAAGTATATTATTCGGAGATGGACGAAGGATGTGAAACAGTGTCTCACAAGGGTTTTGATAAGTTACAGTAATTGGGTTGCTACACCTGAAGCACAAAAATCCGATAAGATGCATAAAACCTTTAATGACATTAAGGAATTTGCCAATGATTCTGATGATAAGTGTATGCTAGTGGTGAGATGGATGCATAAACTAAAGGAGCAAATATGTAAATGTGACGGAGCAGTTAATAGCACTCAACCAACACCACAATCGACATGTTGCTATGAACTTTGATCCTCTCCCTAACCCAAGTCAGCGTATACTTACGCCATTGTCGACTAGAGGTAAAGGTCGTCCACCATCTAAAAGGAAATAATTCAAGACTGAGCAAGTAATCAAAAGAAGACAAAAACGACAGAAAAATATTACATCTTATAAGGACAATACAGATGAGGAAGGAACAGGTAACAAACATATTTTTTTTATGTAACTAATAAGTTGATAAATCATAACATGTTTCACTTGCAACTTTTGTAGAAATCCATAGAAGGTGATGCAATATGCCATATTGATGGTCCACCTCCTTGTAGAAGTGATAACATATTTGCAACACAAGAGAGTAATGTCGTTATGAAGGTGTGCGATAAATATATTGATCTTCTTGTTATCTTTTTTCTTAGTTAATAATCATTGTCATTGTAGTTACAATTAAAATCATACTCTTTGTAATTGTAATTATAATTACTTTTATTCTTTGGGATTTAGCATTCTTATCTTGCACATGGTGTTCAAATTTGCATGTCTGCCAACCAATATCCTATTTTCCCCCATACTAATGTAAGTTGTGCATTTTGTCCTATTGATAGTGATTTTTAATTGCTTTTGTGTTAGCTATTGAACAAATATTACATATTGTAGGAAAACATGACTTTGTTATTGGAACTCAGTCAAGGTGGTCATCCAAGCCTGTTGTACAAAGAGTTTGACATTGGAAATATAATTTATCCTACTATGCATGGAAATAATGTCCAAGTAAATATTGAGAGGTTGCATATAATTCTTTTGTTGTTATTAATTAAATATTTATTTACATCACATAGTATAATGCTCTATCTGTAGTTCTTATGGGTTTTTTTTTTTTCTCTTTATTTAGGTCAACAATTTCAATACTAGAATGGAGGTTATAATATATACAATATGCATGACTCTATTTCAAGAGGAAACGATGACCAGGAGCTCAACTAAGCAATAGAAGCAAAAATGAAAGAAATTTCTTTTTGTAGTTTGAGTTTTTGTGGATTTGGATCCTATTTCTTCTAAACATAGATTTCAATGCATTTGAAATATTTTGTAACAGTAGCCAGTATACAAATGTGTCACTCTTTTAATTCTTGTTGTACTGAAACCGGAGTCATTTACATTGTGCTTGCAATTCAAGGACCTTAAACAGTCTCATGTTTCCATTTGCAACAGAATTGATACGAATTGAATTATGAGATTTAAAGTGTAGGAAGAGAACATTAACGCTAAATGTAAGTCAATGATACACGGTTATATAAACTAGATGCCACTTCTCTTACAACAATTCATAAACGAAAAATGTAGGTCAACGATAAACGGTTGTATGAACTCTTTACTATGTAATCAAGAATCAGCTAATGACTTTCAATTGTCTATTCAATGAAACCCATCGTAACAATTGAAAAAGTATACTTGCAT